TTACAGTTTTGATCTCAAAGCTTTTACAGAGACATGGCATGACTCATGAAATTTTTATTGAATCCAATTCAAATTTCAACGTACTAAAAAACCGCATAATTAGTCAACCACGAGGAAGTGGTAAAAAAGACGGAGGACTTTTACATTTTAGAGAATTATTTTTATAAGATTAAAAAGCAATTATGTTTAACCAAAAATAATTATGAATGTTTAACAATAGAAACCATTAGTGAAAAATTTAAAAACATTGTCATTGTATGCGTATACCGGCCTCCGAGTGATACTGTAAAAAATTTTTCAACATTTTATTAGTAATATTATAGTTAACAATAACAGTATAAAAATTGTGCTTAACCGGGAATATAAATTGAAATTCCTTATCTATGAAAAAAGTTAAAAAACGAAACCTTTCTATGATATGTTATTTAAATATCATATTGTAATAAGTGGACATATATATCATAATATTTTTTACTTTTTTATTTTTATTATACTTCACCTCCTCAAGGCCGTGAAGGCCACTACAGACGAGGAGGCTACTTATTTTGTAGCTATAACCCTCTCTCAATTCTATAACTCCGAAACACGGACATTGACGAACAGGACCGCTGCGCAGAGAAACAAGTTGAGCGCGGTACTACCAGGGACGTGGTGGGGATCGAACTCTGAACCACTCGTTTATGAAGCGAGCGCTCTACCACTACACCACTACAGCATAATATACGTTTATATAAGCCAACTAAAGGTTCAGCAAACAGGAATTTTTAAGACACCACTTTTTTTTCTACATTAAAATTAATAACCTTAAAATAACTTCGACTACTGCTCCAAAGATAATCTAAGATAAAATAAAAAAAACGCAATCTATCAACGTTAAATACTAATAACTTCTTGCAAAAACTAAATAAAGCTAAATGGGAAAAATTCTATGAATGTCATAACACTAATGAAGCATGTGATGCCTTTTTCAATAATTTTTTAAATATATGTAATGAAACATTTCCATATGAAATAATATAAACGAAAACAAAAAAATTGCTAACCTTTGGATGAACAAAGCGTTGTGCAAATTTCAAAAGAATTTAACAATTATTTTACTTACGCTGGTCTAAATTTAGCTAACTCAAAAATCTGAAAACAATTACTGTAAACTATAATATATATGTCAGGAACTAAAAAGATGCATTTTAGTTTAAACAAAGAAATGCTTTTAAGGTCGTTTAAACTAAGAAATGCTTTTAAATTTTGGAAATGATTCCATATTGATGGACCACGGTTTATAATTAGAAAACTTGACTGCTGTGATTTAATTTTCCCTGCCTAGTGGGCATGCGTTGTCCGGAGGACGTCCGTCAAACGTTTTACGGACGTCCCCAAGACGACGCGTACCTACTGGGTAGGTGATAGCTTCATTTATTAATAATTTATTTTTTGACAGCAAATTAATGGTCAAAGAAATTGAGGATGTTTTCTCATCATCAAAACAGGCTTTGATGGAATATTAGCTATTATAGTCGTTTCAAACAAAAAAAAACATCAGCAAATATTTGTTTTATATTCTAAAAGTTTCAATAAATGAAGGCGTATTTCCTGATATATTAAAAGTAGCTAAATTTTACCCAATTTATAAAGGAAATTATAGTTCAAATCATAGACCGATATCCGTATTTTCCGTTCTTTCGAAAATACTTGAACACGTTATGTATAATAGAATTTATGGCCATTTTACAAAAAACAAATTTTTTTACCCTAAACAGTTTGGTTTCCAAAAAAATACTTTAACTGAACATGCAATTATTGAGTTAGTTAACGAAATAACCAATGAGTTTGTAAACAATCAGTTCACACTTGGAATATTTGTAGAACTGTCAAAAACATTTGAAATATGAAATAAACAGATTTCAACACATGATCTTCATGTATAATCATTTTAAAAATCTTTCACCAATCAATTTAGAAACAAGTTTTACAAATAAATCAAAACAATTACTATTCTCTATAATCTAATGAGAGGCTAACATAAACACTGATGAGAGGCTTACATAAACACTGATGAGAGGCTTACATAAACACTGATGAGAGGCTTACATAAACACTAATGAGAGGCTAACATAAACACTGCCTCGTAAATTAACTAAATATAAAGAGTACAGCATAACATAGCATGGCCCTAAGACATGAAACAGCTTTGAAAGTAGCCATTTCAATATGATGAAATCAGTAAATTCATTTAAGTTTTATATAAAAAGAGATCATTTGAAATCAAATGAGAGCTTTAAACTTTGGTATACAAACCATTTTGATAAACCTTTTTGTTAAACTTAATTTCTAATATTATGTTTAATTTTTTATACAATTTAATTTATATTTATAGGAGTTTATTCTATTTATTGTCATAAATAACGGAGATGCTTATTTTTCATATTTTAACAAAGTTTTATATAACTTTCTTTAACAATTTTATTTTACTATAAACTTGTTAAAAACCCAAATAGGAAGTCTAAGAAAAGATTGTTTGTATTTGAAAACGTTTCTTTGTATTTGAAAACGTTTCTTTGTATTTGAAAACGTTTCTTTGTATTTGAAAACGTTTCTTTGTATTTGAAAACGTTTCTTTGTATTTGAAAACGTTTCTTTGTATTTGAAAACGTTCTTTGTATTTTTATTTTCTATTTGTATTGGCGGCGGGATATGCATAAATATTAACAGTGGCGTTGCGTGGGAAAATTCCGGGGGGCAGAGAGAGACCTCAATTTTCCCAACTGCTTAACATAAACCAAGCTTATCTAAAAAAAAAAAAACAAAGGTCCTTGTTTTTTGATATTTGCCGACTGCCAACAATAGGTCCAATTTTGCCGACTCAAGTTCCAATTTGCCCACCGTAGGAGGTTAGATACCTCCCCCCCCCCCTCGGGGCGGCCCTGTTTGTATATTATAGTAAATCACCAATTTCCCAGCTGTCCCAACTCATTGCAAGGAAATTCCCAACTTTTCTCTTTTTAAGATTCTGAGGGGGAAGACTCCCCCTACCCCCCTAAAGCAACGCCCCTGAGTATTAGAAATTGCTGTAACTGGTCTGAGCCAGTGAGTGTGGTATTACACTATGACAGCTAATTCGCTTAATTGCTGCTCATCCAGCAATCAAAACCTGCTTTAAAACTGTTAACTGGTTGTGCATTAACCAACTCGCTTGGCAAGCTGTTAATTAAAATCTATTTAATAAAACGTTTACATGACACGCTTGCTTAATTATTTCTTTGACATATATAAAGCTGTGACCTCTCGTTTGAGTTTGTTGAATCCTTATTTTTATGATTGTTTCCAAATCGTTAAAACTGGTGAAGAGTTTAAAAAGTTGAATCGTGTCTCCTCTTTCTCTCCTTTTTGTCAAGGTAGTCAAGTCGAGAGCTTTTAGACGATTCTCATAGTTGATTTTTTTAAGTGATGGTATAAATCGAGTTGCACGAAGTTGGACTCTTTCTAATAAATCAATTTTTGTTTAAAAAAAAAAATTTTATTCACGTAAAATGACCCGTAATTTTAGTTTTATCAACTATAAAATTTTGTTTCTTTCTAAGAGCTTCAAACTTAACAAAATTAAGAACAATTTATTGTCCTCCGTTTTGTGTAGTTATTCGTATTTGCAGTTATGAGGTTAGAAAGTCCTCTATTTGTTTATTTGTCAGATGGCTTTAGCATCTGTTAAAATGATTTAAACAAAAGTTATCCGGTGAACCGTAAAAACATTTAGCCTAGCACATGTCAATGTTACCTAACTATAAACGAAACAGCGTTACTTATACAGCTAGTTAAAAAATCAGCAAACTTGTTACCAATCCATAAACGAAACCGCGTTAAAACCGCGTTACTTATACGGCTAGTCAACAGAGAAATTAACAGTTAAACATAAAACTTTTTAAGTTAGGCTAAATATTACTATATACGTGCAAATAACAAATAGCACTTAATTAAATAACAATGTATTGACATAAATGTCGATATTAATGCACGAATAGTGTTTATTATTGTTGCTTATACGCCACAATTTATACGCCACAAACAACTTAAAATTTGACATACAAATAAGATTTTTAGGGAAATGTATTGTAGAAATTGTGCATTAAGATACAAAGCTAACGTCAAGTTTAAATATTACTTGAGATAGGAAAGCACTTGCTTAGGAAAGTACTTCGCTTAATTCGGTTGTAATCTTATAATCAATAAAGAAAATTGTTGTTTGAATAATTCTTTTTGGTTTGTTAGTTAACTATAGTTTTAAACAAGCCGTTAAAAAAAACCTTTTATGTTGTTATTGACGTTTTATTTTAAGTGAATTCAAATTATTAACTTAAAATAAAAAAATTTTGTAACTAAAAAACTCTGATTGCCATACATTTTTTTGGTGAGAATTACAATACAATAGCAACTTCTACAATACAATAGCAACTTCTACAATACAATAGCAACTTCTACAATACAATAGCAACTTCTACAATACAATAGCAACTTCTACGAAAAAATACAAGTACCTACTACTATTGAATGTAAATCACTGATAGCAAAATTTACTTACATCTTTTGTAAGGTTTTTTTCAAGGATGGCTGTTTTTTAAATATTTTAGTTCTTTATGTTATAAAAATATTATGCAGTTGTCAGTTTTTATAGCATTAAAATAAGTTAGCGCTTATTCGCACATTTAAGACTAATCGCGTTAAAGCAGGATTCTATATGAATCGCTAACTTGAAAAAGGGGACATGTTATGTGAATTTTTGCAGGACATGTCCCATTTTTCAAGTTAGCAATTCATATATATTTGAACTTCATTCAATGATTGAAAAAAAAATCGCTGTTAAGCAGTTGAATTAAAAAACAAATTAAAGACTAAAAATTATTTAAAACAGAATTAAAAATATTTAAAGAAAAAATCTTAAAAGTATTTTTTCTTTATTTTTTATCAAAGTATTAAAAAAAAAAAAACAGAAATTAATAAATAAACACTTTAAGAGACGAACGTGTATTTTACAGAAGTCACAATTTAATATTATGTACTTAAAGTCAGTTCTTTACTATATAAAAAAAAAACGTCACAAAGAGTTCATTTTTACCTTAAGTTTGTATCAGCTGGGCGTGCTTTTTAATATTATCCCATGCAAATGTTAAATGCTCTATATTTGTGTTTTCAAAGGTTATGACAAATCTTAAAATGTATTTGTCTCCAAGTTTAGCTGGAATAATATATATTGAACCTTCCGCACTGATTGAGATATTTAACTTTTCGTTTAGTTCGTTGTTTCCTTTCATGCGAAAGCACACCAAACCCATTGTTACTGGATAGCAAATCTCAAACCTATCATCTGCTAGAACCATTTTTTCGAATTCGCGCGCAAGATACTGGTGGTTTCGAATATAATTTTGTATTCCATTTTGGCCATAAAGACGAAGTGTAAACCATACTTTGAGAGACCGAAAACGACGACCTAATGGAATCTGCCATTGTCGATATTGGGGCATTTCATTTCCGCTAAGTACTTTCAAATAAACAGGATCGACATTGAAAGCATTATTCACTTCATTTTTGTCTTTCATCCATAATGCAGAGCAATCCATGTTTACAAGCATCCATTTATGTAAGTTAAAATTAAATGAGTCCGCAAGTTCGACACCGGCCATAAAATGACGGTTCTCCTCGCATACAAATGAACTACCAGCATAAGCTGCATCTACGTGCAACCAAATTTTTTCTTTATTGCATATTGGTCCTAATTTTTGAAGGTTATCAAAAGCACATGACGCTGTTGTGCCAAGAGTTGCGCAAAGATAGAATGGAATAAGTCCATTTTCTCTATCTTGTTTAACAACTTTTTCTAAACTTTCTCCATTCAGCGTAAACATTTCATCTGTATCTACGTAATGAAGTTTTACTCCAGCTAACAAAGCAGCTTTTATTACTGAAGAATTAGCCTGATCTGAAGTATACATGACCAGTTTTGATAAAATGTTTTCACCTGAATTATTTCCTGTTATTCTGGTGCGAGCAAGCAAAAGTGTGAAATAAGTAGCGTCACTTGCAAATCCTTGAATGACACCACCTCCTGAGCTGTTTGCTGAAAATTTAAATTGCTCAGGCAACCCTATAAGATCCGCAATCCAATTCATCATTATCATCTCTAACTCAGTAGAGACAGGCATAGACATCCACGAAAATCCTGGAGCCGATAAGGCGTTAACTAAAATATCAGCTACTAATGAAGGAAAACTGTTTGCTGTAGGATAAAATGCATGAAAATGAGGATGCCTCCAATGAGTAACACCAGGCATTATAACTTTTTCAATGTCTTCCATAATAGTTTCCCATTTCTCTGCCTCAATAGGAGCTTTTGACGGTATAAGAGATGTTAGATAGCCTGGTTGAACTTTCGGAAGAACATTTCTGTTTTCTATTGTAACGAAATAATTCGCTACATAATCAATCATTTGTTTTGAAAATTTTTTGAACTCCTCAATATCTGACATTTTTTCTAAAATAAATAAAGCTATATATTGTATATATATAAACATATATATATATATATATATATATATATATATATATATATATATATATATATATATATATATATATATATATATATATATATATATATATATATATATATATAATAAATATATATATATATATATATATATATATATATATATATATATATATATATATATATATATATATATATATATATATATATATATATATATATATATATATAAATAACAGAATAGATAATAATAAATATTGTTGAATGAAAGGAAACTTTGAAATATTCTATTATTATTAATTATATAAAATATATAAAAAATATATTATTAATTTGCTAAAATTAATAATAGAATATTTTTACTCAAAGTTTCATGTCATTCAACAATGTTTCCAAGTCATTCCACAATCAAGTAGTAAAATGTTACTTTACTTTGATAAAAATCAATTGCAAATACAGTTTCAAAATTACAGTTTAAATATGTGTTTTAGAAATGCGTTTTTTTGGCGGAAATTGTTTAGTAATTAGGGTTAATGTCATTTTCGTTAATAATTGTGAAATAGTTGTGTATTTTAATATTTGTTTAAATATAGATCAACTGCGTAGTGGAAGGCCAAGAAAAACATCTAGAAAGTTAAAAAGTATAATAAAACACAGGCAGTCCATTTGTCAACATCAAAAGAAATATGAACAATTCTATTCACAAGAAAACCATTTTTTATTCAATGTCGAAGAAAAAATGGCGTAAAATTGGATATTTTAGCAAGATTATGACTCAAAACATACATCCAAGTTGTTAAAACATATAATTTGGCTTTAAATGTAAGAGTTTTAAGATGACCTCTCAATCACCGGACTCGAACCCAATTGAACACTAATGAGAAACTCTAGATTGTCTAGTTTAAAAGCATTCATATTTAAATTAAGTCGCATTATTTAAATCATTGAAGGAAGAATGGCATAAAATTTCCTCTGCTTGTTTTAATTGACTAATGAGTCAACGCCTTATTGTTGTGCAACTGGTAATGTTGGAAAAGGTAAGGCTACAAAATATCATTATAAAATTATAATTGAATTATATTATAGAACATGTGGACCAACAATGTTTTTAATAACACAAATTAGCCTGAATTTTTGTACGTGTAAATTATAACAATTATAGTAATAAATAAATTCATAATTATAAGTTTAACAAAGTTTGAATTTAAGTAATGTTTTTTTACTAAATTATTTTGTTTTCTATATCTCATCCTAAAATTTCATAATAATTAAAAATCATTTGACTTTTTTTTTAATTAGTTAGAGTAAAAAATATCACTGGCTGAAAACTTTAGCACGCCACTGTACACTCAGAGGCGTTTCAAGGAATAAAATGAGAATGAGAGAAGGGGGCGAATCTTTATAAAGTATCAACTGTATTTGAACAAGTTTTAAGAACGTATATTAATTGATGATTAAATACACGTAAAAACGGATTATAGGCAGTTACCAGATATGCCAAACAAATTTAAGTATTAACTCTTAAATATTTTGAAAAAAATAAAACATGCCATCTGTACTTGTGACCAATACAAAAAAATATTTCTTATAAATGGCACCATTAACAAGAAGATTATGTAATATGTTATATATATGATTAATATATATAAGATTATGTAATAGGTTATATATATTACATTTTTTTTTTTTTTATTTATTTATTTTTTTCGTCATTTGACACATTTTACAATTTTAACCTTACATTCAAATAAATTTATACAAATGCAAGCTGACTGGGGCAAGTAGAAGACAAAATGTCTTATTATCAAGCCCCTTCGTGAAAATAAAAAAAAAAAAAAATTTACAATTTCCAATAATATATAAAAGAGTGAAATTAAAAAAAGTTTAAAAAAACAAATTAAAAATTTTGAAAAAATCAAAAAGTTTAAAAAATAATTTTTAAGTTTGACAAAACTAAAAAAGTTTAAAAATAATAAAAAATAAAAAAGTTTGAAAAAATAGTTTACAAATCCGTACATATGCGTATACATATCCAATAAACTTCATAATATATATTTAAATATACAAAAGATATTTTGAATTGAAAAAGATTCCGAACATTTTATTGATTTAAGTTCATCTACTCATATTTTTTTTTTAAACAAAATTAAAACAGACAAGCAATAAGAAACAAGAAGAATATATATAAGAAGGATATATGTATATATATACATATACACACATACATATACATATACACATACATATGTATATATATATGTATATATATATATATATATACATATATATATATATATATATATATATATATATATATATATATATATATATATATATATATATATATATATATATATATATATATATATATATATATATATATATATATATATATATATATATATATATATATATTTATATATATATACACACATACATATACACATATATATATACATATATACATATATATACACATATACATACATACACACACACATATACACATATACATGTATATATACTTACATATATATATATATATATACATATATATATATATATATATATATATATATATATATATATATATATATATATATATATATATATATATATATATATATATATATAGCTCTTTTAAATATATCAATAGATTTTATTTTTTTCATATTTTCGTCAAGAACCGAGTTCCACAAGCGTGGTCCCTGACATGTAATTGAGAAGTCAGGGTCTTGTTTTATATTTATGATTAATAAGAGAAAAATTTTCATAAAAATATTTTGGAATTAATTCGTTTTAAAGTTTAAACATAAATAACAAGTTATGGTAGATGTTTAATTTGTATACATTTAGGGCATTTATTTTCTTGAGTAACGGCTCGGCACTTTCATATCTATTCATGCCCGAAACTAATCGACTTGCTTGCTTTTGTCCTGTGTAAATAGTTTTTAGGAAAGATGAGTGATTGATTGCCAAGGCAATATTACAATAGTTAATATGACTATGAATAAACGAAAAATATAAATCTTTTAAACATATTTTGTTCAAAAGAGGTTTATTCTTATATATTATACCCAAAGCCTTTGAGACTTTAATCTCGACTAGCTTTATTTGGCTTTTCCAATTTAAATGTTCGTCAAAAATTATTCCAAGTATTTTCATTGAAAACACTCTTTTTATTTTAATACTGTTAATAGTTAGTTCTGGTAGTGTAAGTGAAAGATTCTCGGATTTATATGGCTTAGCAAACAAAATATATTTTGTTTTTTTAATATTCAATGAAAGTTTATTTGCTATAAACCACTCATTGAGATATGTTAGTTCAGTGTTTACATTGCAAAAAATATTTTTTAAATTTGAATCGGAATAGAAAACATTAGTGTCGTCAGCAAAAATAATATATTCAAGTATTTTTGATGACAAATAAATATCACTATTATAAATTAAAAACAGTAAGGTCCAAGTATTGATCCTTGTGGAACTCCACAACTTATTGACTCAAATGGGGAGCATGTTAAATCTAATGGTACTACTTGTTTACGATTTTCTAAATAAAATTGCAGCCACTTTAAGTTAGAGTGAGCTACTCCGTAATTACATAGTTTGTTGATAAGAATCTTGTGGTTGACAATATCAAAGGCTTTGGATAGATCTAGAAATATTCCGAGTGTGTAACTATTGTTTTCAAAACCATTTAGAATTTGTTTCGCAAGATCAATTACTGCATGCTCCGTGGAATGGTTTTTGCGAAAACCAAACTGTTTATGATAAAAAATGTTATTAGTTTTAAGATAATTGTACAGCCTGTTGTGCATAATACGCTCTAGTATTTTAGAAAAACAGTAAAGTATGGAAATTGGCCTATAGTTAGATTTTATCGAATTATTGCCGCTTTTGTATATTGGAATTATTTTTGCTAGTTTTAGTTGGTCAGGAAAAATGCCGTTTCTTAGGGAAAGATTAAAAGTTATAAAAAGAGGTTTCTCAATAATATCAGAGACCGCTTTTACAACATTGGGGTTAATTTCATCTAGACCCGCACTTTTATTTGTTTTCAACATACTAATTGCTAGCCGAAGTTCATCAACCAGAAGCTCCGACTCATCCATTATGGAATCTGATTTTTTTAAAAAGGATTCAAATGATTTACTCCCCTCAGGAACTGCACTGGCTAGTTTTTTCCCTATATTTATAAAAAAGTCATTAAATGTTACTGCAATTTCTTTATTTACAAAAGCATCTCCTATATTACCATCTCTTTGCAATCTTTTTGGGAAATTATCAGTTTTTACATTTCCTACACCTGTTATTTCTTTAATTACATTCCATGTTTTTCTTGCATTTTCAAATGTTTTATTAAGCAATAAGGAATAGTAATTTTTTTTTATCGTTTTTTAACTTTTCGAATGAATTTTTATATTTTTTGTATTTTATTTCATTTTTGTAGTTCTTTTTATTTAAAAAATTTTTGGTAAAGTTTTTGTTTCTTTTTTAATGACTTAATGAGTCCTTTCGTCATCCACGGACTAAGCAAATTTTTAGAATTAATAATTTTTTTAACTTTTGGAAAAGGCTTTTTCGTATTGCTTAGTAAACACGCGAATAAAAAAATCATAGCCATTACTTACATCATTGCAATCAGTCAAAAGTTCCCAGTTTATTTCTTGTAGAATAATGTCTGAACTATTATTACATATTGTCTGAACTATTATTACATAATGTCTGAACTAATATTACATCATGTCTGAACTAATATTGCATAATGTCTGAATTAGCATTGACTGTCATTATATAAGATTCACAGCATTCTTCCAATGTTTTAGAAAAATTTAGTCTTATGTCAATTTGCCAAAAAAATTGTCAAAAAAAACTACAAATCAGATAAAAATATGTAAGGTTTTTCATTAAAAAGGAAAAAGTAGTTGGGTGTTGTGTAAACAGGAAAATATTATCTTATATATATTTGTCAATTCTGATTGATTGCTTGATTGTTTGTTCCCAGTTAACAGCCAGAACGTTAGCCCTAGAAACGTGAAATTTGGCATGGATAATCCCCATGACTCAGGGAGTGATATAGGTTAAGTCAATTTGACCTCGGATGTCACTGGAGACCGCCCGGGGTCGCGGGGGTTTTCAAATGGTCATTTCTGGGCCGGGGGCTGGATAGAGTGTTCCTTGTGAAGTGCAGAGTTCTTTCTCGCCCCTGGGGGTGAGGGTGCGGTTGACCTCGGGGGTGACCTTGGGGGTTGCTGGAGATTGGAATGGTCTGAGGGATGGGTTGAGTCTTTCCTATGATGTGATTTTCGTCGGTTTCTGTCGTGCTCCATGGATTGTTGTTGTCTGTTTTGTCGTTTTTCAGAGTTTTCTGGAATGTTCCACGTTTTTCCGGAGTGGGCCAGAATTTTCAGGAGTGGTCCGGAGTTTTCCGGAAGGTTATATAGTGCACAATGTGGCTGTTCCATCACCTTCCAAAACATTGGGGGGCTTTTTTTTTTCTTTCTGTCATTAAGGTACCATTAAAAAGATTTAACGGTCTCGTTACACCGTACCTCGGAAACGCATTTATCTATAATGTTCATACTGCCTTTCATACCGTTATTTTTAAAATATATATACAAACTATTTCAGGAAAGTTAATATTTATCTTGCCTGAAATAGTTTGATGTTTATATTGTTGTATAAAAAATATTATTATATGTTTACAATATTACTTTTAAAACTTTTTGCATAAGATCTTTTATCTAAGGGATCGTCCACAAATTACGTCACGCAATTTGAAACCGTTGTAGACTCCTCCACCTCCCCTCGTCGCAACAACGTAACTCTTTAGTATTACTAATAGTAACAAGTTCCGTATGAGTTGTCACAAAAACCACTAACTCTTCCCCTCCCCCTCTCCCAAGCATGACGTAATTTATGGACAACCCCTAAGTCTATGTACTTTTAAAACAGTGCGTAGCATTACAGGATGTGTGTTATTGAGCTCATGTTTCATAATTGCCACAAAGAGTAAAGGGTGTATTTTAATTAATTTTTATCAGCTTTTAATGATAAAATACATAAAACTAACGTATTTAAGCATAACAATACAAAATGACTGAGTATTCTTTAGATGATTTATACACTCTAAAAACAGTCCGTTAAAAAAAGTAACGGATTGCGCTTTTTCGTTAAATTAACGGATTAATTCGTTACCAAAAAGCAGAAAATTAACGGAGTAAAATTAACTATTTACGGATTCTTTGAAATTTCGTTAATTCAACGGATTAAATATTCAAATCTGTTAAAAATATATTTGAACTTTCAATTATAAAGGTTTCCAAAAGAAGTTATGAAGTGCTACCTCTGTAGATTATATTTTTCACCATTTCGTGTCCTTTTTTCTCACTTTCGAAATTTTCATGGATTGGCTTCGAGAGGTTCTGAAGTCAAATGCACTTTTGAAAAATGCAATAGATTCTTCATAAGTTTCACAACGTTAAAAAAACACTATAAAACCCAGCATTCAACAATAGTTCCTGATGAGATTAAAGCTTCAAGTTCAACTACAACTAGTTAGTTTTTTTATTTGCTCAATTACATATATATATATATATATATATATATATATATATATATATATATATATATATATATATATATATATATACATATATATATATATATATATATATATATATATATATATATATATATATATATATATATATATATATATATATATATATAAAATATATATATATATATAAAATATATATATATATATATATATATATAATATATATATATATATATATATATATATATATATATATATATGTATATATATATATATATATATATATATATATATATATATATATATATATATATATATATATATATGTATATATATGTGTATATATATATATATATATATATATATATATATATATATATATATATATATATATACATATATTATTATTATTATTATTATTTCTCATGCATTTAAATTTTTAATGGTTATATTTTAAATTTATTGTGAAAAGTAATAGCAATCAAGAAGATCAAACACAGTGGTAAATTAGAAACTTTAAATGCCTTTTTCTCAAAAAAGGACTTAAGATAGTCTTGTTTTGCAGCATATATATATATATATATATATATATATATATATATATATATATATATATATATATATATATATATATATATATATATATATATATGTGTGTGTGTGTGTGTATATATATATATATGTATGGAATTTTATAGAAATTTTCCGCAAAAAAGCAAAGAAAGGAAAAAGGTCATTGGTCTTTGGGAATTTTAAACCCATTGAGAATGATGTGTTATACGCGGTGCCATTGGGTTAGCTAAAATCCTAATATATATATATATATATATATATATATATATATATATATATATATATATATATATATATATATATATATATATATATATGTATGATTAGATTAGATTATGCTTTTATATTAGAGTATTCTATAATTTTTGATTTAGATATTACTGATGAAGAAATAACAATTGAAAGTCAAACTAATCATACAGATGACATTATTGAGGTTGTCCAGAATCCTACATGCATCAATTTAGAAATATCAATTATGAAATTTTTTTCAGAATTATCTGCAAAAGCTAACATTACTTTGAGTAACTCACAAATTATAATGGAAAATATGATTGGAGTTATTAATGACATATCACTTTTTGGTTCACAACTACTTAAAGATCTGATAATCCCGTTAAATTTAGCGCAGGATAATACAATTATCAATGAAGCTTTAATGAAAATGCTAAACATTAGTAATATAACAAATAACATTGATACAATTTATAAAAGAGAGAAGTGGTTAGTGGATAATGGTTTTTTTATAAAACCAATAGAAATACCTCTTGGCGTGCGATTAGAACAAAGATTTTCAGCTGGTCTAAAGTCAATGCATTCTGTAACTGTAGAAGATAAATGCTATTTTGTTCCAATTGATCAGATTCTTGCCAAGATTATGGAGTCTGTTATCGAAAAAATTATTTTTCCAGTGTGCAGTCCTAGTTCGATTCCAACAAGAGTTAGAGATTTCTTTGACACACGCAGATTTCACAATCATCCTTTTCTCCAAAAATTTCCAAAAACGTTTTTACTACATTTTTTTATTGATGCATTTGAAGTCACAAATGTGTTAGGAAGTCACACGATTGTCCATAAACTTGAGGCTTTATACATGCAAGTTCGAAATGTTTTGCCAGAATATCAGTCTAAGACAGACAGCATTTATTTGATTGGACTGTGGTATGCTTTAGATGCACATATTACAAGCTACTCGTATGACAATGTTTTAAAAAATGTTTTGTGTCAGCTTCAAGAATTAGAAAGTGAGCAAGGGGTTCAAGTTAAAGTAAATGGAAAGGAAATAACTATTCATGCGATAATTGTCATTTTTTAAGCAGATAATTTAGGAGCACATTCTTTATTTGGTTTTATGGAAAGTTTTCGTGCAACATATTTTTGTCGTTTTTGTAAATGTACTCAAACTGAATTGCAAGAAACCTTTAGGTCAATAGCTTTTGAAAAGCGAACAAAAGCTGACTACAATCGGTGTATAGTTGAATCTCAACCAACTGATTATGATCCTTCTAAAACTGGCATAAAACATGGTTGTTCTTTTAACTGTCTCAACTGGTTTCACTGTGTAGAACAAAGTGCTGTTGATTGTATGCATGATTTGCTGGAAGGGGTAGTGCCATTAGAAATATGCCTAGTGTTACGGACTCTGACAGAGAAAAAAATTATATCCATTTTAGATATAAATAATGCTATAAATAATTTTAATTACTCCTTGGCAGACAAAAATAGCAAACCACCAGAAATAAATCTTCAAAATATACGCATTCAAGCTGCTGAATCATGGTGCCTAATACGGAATTTGCCTCTCATGATCGGAAAATATATTCCAGATGAAGAACCCCACTGGAAACTTTTAATTCTGTTATTACGTTGTTTAGATATTATTTTTGCTCCAGCAATTACAGATGGTCTTATTACTCAGCTTGAATTTTTAATTGAAGAGCATCATTGCTACTTTAAATCAGTTTACCCAGAAAACAGGTTAATCCCAAAGCATCACTTTATGCTGTATTATCCAGAGTGTATGGCTAAGTTTGGACCTTTGAGTAGATATTGGTGTATGCGATTTGAGGCAAAACATCGTTTTGCTAAAGAACTTTCTTCAGTTATATGTAACTTTAAAAACATCTGTTACTCTGTCATGCATCGATACCAATTAAAACTTGCTAATTGCTTATTTAGTCGGTCATTATATTCAGATATTAAACAGCTGGGTAAATGTGATAAAGTTATTATTGGAAATTTGCATGTGGAAATCGGAAGCATCATATGTGAATCATTAAACTTGAATATATTTGATGAAGTTTATGTTTCTTGTTCGATTACTTTTGGATCATATCTAATCAAATTAGGTTGCATTTTGTGTCATGATGTAGTAGAAGGTTATCCACAATTTGGAGAGCTGCTCTGTATTGTTTATATTGCACCTAAATCTTTTTTGGTGCTGAATCCACTAGAAACAATAAATTTTAATGAGCATTTTTATGCTTATGTGGTACAAAGAAATGAAATTTTGTGTAAAAATATTGTTATCAATGCAGATAGTTGTAAAGATTATCATCCTTATAACATTACTAACTTATGTGACCAAATGTTTATCGGCACACGTTACAGAATTTTTTAATTGTTATTGTTAGCCATTGTAATTTTATTATTAAATAATTTCACCGCTTATTAAGAAAAACTGCATATTGATTACATAGTAGTGCATTATAGCAAAACTCTTTTAGTTTGCTTTAAATATTTATTATATGAAGATGTTGTTTTTTAATACTATATGCTACAGGGTCCCCACAGTCCAGGAGTTTGACTAGTGTCCTGGAAAGACCTGGCATTTTTTCTTAAACATTACTAACAAATTAGAAAATGGTCCTGAAAAGTCTTGGAATAAGGTGTTGTTTTTTTTCTGTGGGAACCCTGTACTATAACATACTATAAAATTTATATATAAAATGATTTTGAATATATATATATATAGAAATGATTTTGAAAACATTGATATCTGTTTTAGTTTATATCATTTCTGACTGATATATATAGAATGTCTCTTATTTTGAAAATATGGTCTGTTGATCAATCCAAAAAAAAAATAGTTTTGCTGAAGAAAGATAAAGACTTCGTTACTAAGGGTGAAATAATTATTTATATTTGATAAATAGATACTATTTTGTCAATGTTTTGTTCCTCTACAGTTTATAAATGTGTTGTCATTTCTAATTGTAGTTGCCAGTAAATTTGGTTTGTTGTCAGGAAATGATCTTAAATTTGCATTTCAAACCGATGGAACAGAAATTGATGATTTTGACTAAGAAGTGTTGAAACATTTTTCTGATAGCGGTACAACTATTACAGTGCTTGTCAATGATGAGAAATGGGTACCTAACAACTTGGTAAGCAAGTTATTTTCAATTTTCTTTAATAATTTAAATCCATTTATTTATTTTTGATTTGTTTTTTTATAAATAATATGTTACACAGGCTGTGTTTACCCCTGAGGTTTGCAGTTCTGCATATATTAAAGAGGACTGTTTTGATACCAATAAAGCATTTGTCTTTACCGGCCAAACGATATTGAGTCAGGATGATACATTTTCTTGTTCAAATGTGTTAAAGGCTTACCTAGCACAACATCCAGTGAGTGCATTTTTTAAATAATATAAAGTTTCATTGTTTACCATGTCCTTTATATTACAGTATTAATTGTTTATGTTAACTGTCTAAATTTTATTATAATTTGTTTTTACTTAACAAAATTTCATTTTTTCAAATAGAATACCTTACAATATATGAATGAAATAAATAATTTCAATGTCAATTGCAATGCAAGACAACATATTGTTAGAGTTGTTATGCACAAAATGGTTTGCTTATATGGAAACTATCCAAACAAATTTCAAAAAAGCAATGTTGCAGTATTGCTAGGTGAAACTCTTGGATTGCCAAGCAGCATTTTTTATGATCCTGTAAGTTATAATGGGTATCTTGACAGGGCTCTGGAAAATGCAAGGAGAAAGTTATTGCGTGAGTATTTAATAATAATCATATTATTAACAAAACATTTGAACTTATTTTTAAACTGTGTCTCTTATTTTAATGTTATCACGTAACATTTAAAATTGTATTATAACTATGGTGTTATAATGTATAGTCTTTTAGTATTTGCCCCAACTTATGTGGAGCAATTGGCTCATAATCAAGTGGCACCACAAATTATAAATTAAATGGTTCTTGATTAATGCATTAGCCTTTTGTAAAATTAAGAAAGTCTTACCAATTTTTATTTAGCTTCAGCTAAAAAGCATACCTGGTCACAAAAAAGGGAAGCAGTTAAAATCAAAATACCTGATTCTACTGTTTCCAGGGTTTTTACTGAAGAAACAGAAGAAGCTTCTTGCTCAAAAAAATGGAAAGAAGGATGTCCTCGTGGCTTGGCAGATTGTATGATATGTGGAGGTTTGTTTTCATTTTGGAAGTTTATGAACATGGATACTAAGTTTTAAATAATGGAATCCAATGAATTGGTTTTCTTAGATTTAATTTTAATTTCATTTGCAAATTATTAGATGAAGGTAAAAAATTTAAAACAACATTTGACTTTTACATAGGTGTTTCAAACATTGAAGATGTTGACAAACTAAGATATCTTGCCTCCATCAGAGTCGAGGAAATAAAACGATGTACACAATCTACTTTTTGTTTGCGACAGACATGGGTTGCAGATGAGAAACCAGTCTTGTCTACGATTATAAAAAATTATCCTAAATTTGCATTAATTCCTGAATTGGTATTATTCTGTATTTGCTAAAATTTTATTTGTACAAACATACATTTAACTTTTCTATGTGCAACGAATATATTCAACAATGACATTAAATATTTTCTCTACTTAGTTTGTACTATATGATTATATTTTTATTTGATTATATATATACCCTGCTTTTTTTTCGATAAATGTCTTATCTAGTTGATATTTTTTTCTGATATAATAATGACGTTTTTAGATTGATATTGAATTTTCAACCAAATATCCTATATGTAAGCCACATTTATTGGATACATTTTTGAATAAAACTGTTCAGCCACTTTATCAGTATTGTGGACTAATGAAAGTTAGTTATCTGACAAACCTAGTCAATGCACCTAACCAGAGTAATGATGGTATACTATGTTTATATTCAATTTTTTTTTCAATTTTTTTTCAAGCATACTATTGAAAATGGTATGCCTAAGAAAACCTTTTTTGAAAACGTCATGATTTATTATCTAGATTGGCGAGTGTATAATGCATGCAAAATGTTATGCTATTTATTACGGAAAGGAGGAAAGCAAAGGAAATCTGCCCCTGAGATAATGGAACACATTATGATATGCAATGTAAGTATTACCTCTATAAAATAATTTTTTTATGTTAAAAATGTTCATACAGCGTATTTGAGAAGTATGACCACCAGATACTTGATTTGCAATAAAATGAAAAAGCCACTATCTCTAATAATTTTTATTGTCAAGCATTAAAAAATAACATTTTAATATTTAGGTCGGTGAGTCGATTGCATTTTTCGCAGAAAATCTTGAGAACCCATATCCTGTTTTGTTAATACAAGGGCAGGAAGGCGAAACTATTTTATCAATAAACATTGCATATGAAAAAAAAATAATCAATGCAGGCAAATCTATAACGGAAGGTATAGATCGAATGCTTAAACTTTACTGGTGTTTCAATATTCAATATGATCCAATTTCTGATTATTTTTGGCAGTTCATTCAGACTCATTATGATCTTGACACTGGAAAAAAGCCTAAATGTGTAATTGAACTACTGGCTAGTTTACTAAAATATACAATGTATTCAAGTGATAGTTTCTGATTTTTTTTATCTCTAACAAATATGTTTTTATTTTATTGATTTAATCTATCTTGATATCTTTTTTTAAACTGAAAGAAAAAAGCTCAAAAGAGACTCTTTTTAGTGGAAATTTATAATCTTATTTATATAATTATATTAAAATTTAAATTATTTAAATATATAATTTTTTGTCAACTAGATATTTTTTCATTGTTTTTTTATCCCTGAGCTTTATTATTTTTACTAATGTGCAGCTGTGGTTATAGAAAAAAGATCATACAAAATAAGTTATTAGATTATGTTAGAAGTGCTTGAAATAATGAAGTAAATAAATCTTTGAAAAATGTAAAACAGGAAAGTCTTGAATATAGTGCCTCAACATTTTTTCTTTCCTATTTGGTTCCAAATAAATTAAAAACACAAATCTCAAATGAGTAAACAAAAACAAACTATATAATGAAAAAACATTTCCCTTAATAATTTTTTAAAAGTTGTGATCTTGAAAAAAAAAAGTTTTGTATACGAAACTTTGCGACGATCTCAAATTTTCAAAAAAATTGTTATAGCACTAAAACTACAAAAGCAAAGTATAGTATAATATTTAACTATAGAATTTAAATTTGAGATAGTTAGGGGGGGGGATACTATCCTCTGTGCGTACGTCAGCATCAGCGCCGTGCTGTAACTTTTGGGGGCCCTGTGCAGAAACTAAAATAAAAATTTTTTTCTTTCAATTCGTGGTAATTTATGGTATTGGAGAAGTTTTTCTAATGTATTTAATAGGGGGCCCAGTGCGATTGCACTTGTTGCACTTGCGATAGTACGGCACTGGTCAGCATCAATATACTTTATTTTACTAATTTACCTTTATTTTTCCTAGTAACTAACTTGTTTCCCTGTTAACTAAGTTGTCCATCGACAAATAAATTACTTGCCGTAAAGTAAAAATTCATTATGAAGCGCGCATTGTAGCGACTAGTGTCGTTATGAGGAGCATCTTATTTTGTTAATCGTTTGATAAATTATTTTAGTAGGTAGGTTTTTCAGTATATTATAGCTTTTTATTTTGAAAATGATAAAGTTTTGAATGCGTTTTTCTCACATTTACATTTACATCGTAGATAAAACTTGGATGCAGTAAGAGTAATGTGCCATTTTTTAAAAGTCTTTACATTTAGTAGACAAATGCTTTGTTTAAAAGCAAATGAATAAATATAATTTAAATTACGCTATGTTATGTGTAATTTCGAAGGTTATTTAACTTATTTTAAATTTTCTATATAAAGCTTTATATAGAAAATTTAACAATAAGGTTTATTTTAAATTAACAATGCTTTAAAGCAATGAATCTATTTTAAATTGTTTTTATATGATATATTAAAGCCATTAGTATTACTAAATAATATACAATAACATATTTGGTAAGTTAACACATGTCAGATATGGTAAGTTACTACATGTTTAAATCTAGAAAATTATGCAAGAATATATATATATATATATATATATATATATATATATATATATATATATATATATATATATATATTCTTGCATAATTTTCTAGATAGATATATATGCAATCCATATATATGCAATCCATATAGTCTATATTATGTAAATAATAGTTCAACTAATCCTTTACTAGTAGTAAAAGGTTAGTTAAACAGCTAAGTTTACATGGATAGTTAATATGCTTTTATAAATTGCAATTTTTATTAATTTTTAAATTAAACATGTGGCATCCAATATCATAAACTAAGTTTATACTGGTGTGTTTAAATTATTTTAAAATTTTCTATTTTAGACACATGGCATTTGTTATCCCACTGTAAGTTAAAACTAGTTGTAAAATTAAAAAATTTATATTGGAACTTCTATTTCTTTTAACATTCATGTTTATTTAATTTAGTTACAACTAAGGTTATATATGAGTTATTTATACTATTTTACAACTTGCTGCTTTAGAGGCATGGCATTTAGTGTCACATTGTAGGTTTAAGTTGGTCGTAGAATTTATACTGTAACTTTTGCATTTATTTAGTTAAGTTTCAACTAAGTTTACATCTGATGTGTTTGTATTATTTTAGAATTTGCTGTTTTAGACACGTGGCATGTGGTATCCCACTGTAAGTTTGAATTATTAAATTTAAAAAAATTATACTTTAACTTGCATTTCTTTTGACTTCCATGTTTATATAATTACATTACAACTAAGTTTGTGTATGGCTTGTTTATATTATTTTAGAATTTGCTATTTTAGATACTTGGTATATGCTGTTATACTGTAAGTTTAAATTGGTTGGAAAATTTATATTGTAAATTGCATTTCTATTGGCGTGCATATTTATTAAGTTAAGTTTCAACTATTAATAATAACAATAAGTTATTAACCTGACGTGTTTATATTATTTTAGAATTCACTGTTTTAGACACGTGGCTTGTGATATCCCACTGTAAGTTTGAATTAGTAAATTTAAAAAAAATTATATTTTAACTTGGATTTCTTTTCGCGTGCATATTTATTTAGTTACGACTAAGTTTAAATCACACTTTTTAACTATTATTCTACTATATTATATATTCACTATTTTTTTAGAATTAGCTATTTTAAACATGTGACAAGTGGTATGACCCTGTAAGTTTAAATAAGTTGTAAAATTAATTTTTTTATATTGTTACTTGCGTTTTTTTGGTCTGCATATTTAATCTTGTTTTGATGTATCATAGTTTTTAAAACTTTAGAGACCTTATTTTTTGCTCCTGACAGGTATT